AAATTTAAGCTTGACTTTGGTCACAAAATTAAAGAATTCTTTAAAAAACTTAAAATTAATGAAATCTTCAAGATATAATTATATCCCAACTTTCTTCAATTTGCAAGAGTCTTCCTATTATATATAAGCTTTATCAATATTTTATACAATAATTCATTAATGATGCCAAACAGACATTGATAATGAGACATTGGTTAATTATTTACTTATGAAGATAATAAAACAAATTTTTCTTAAGACTTTTTAATCGCCTATTATGTCTAGGTCTATTTCTTTTATTTAAAGTAAACCACTAGTTGTTCATGATAGGAATAAAGAAGCTCATTAATTTACTATCACATCTCTTTTATAAAGGTTTGATTTCGAAGGGCACAAAGTTACAACCTCTTCATGTAGCACTGAGAGCACTCCTAAATTCTATGTTATTACAGGATTGTAATGAAGTTATAAATCTTTTCTTTAAATATTTGAAGCTTAAATGGTAAAATTTTAATTCCAATCCTAAAACACTTCTTGTAATTCAAAGCCAAAACTTACATATTTTTGGTACAAAAATATAAACTTATGTAAGATCTCACTCAAATTGTCCATAAATCTTTGTGGCCCTAAGTTCACAAATAGACTTTGGATGTAAGTTTGGAATATAGCAATAGAACTTAGGAGTTGAAAGTGGGCTATAAGAGACTACTTAAGCTTGTGGCCCTATGATTTGTACTACTAGTGATACAATCAAGGAAAATGATAGGAAACATAAATAAATGGATAGTATTACGTAAACTTCTAAGAAAAAATATTGATATTGCTAATATTTATATTCCAAAAAACTTTCAAAAATAATTCTTATTATAAAAAATTTTAATCAAAAAACTTCTAACGACATGCTAATGGATACTCACCAATAACTTTAATATGGTTGAAGTATGCTAAAACAAGAATAATCTATGTGACAGGTTGATTTTGATAAAAAAAAAATGAGCAATTTATAATATAATAAAATACCATTTTCAAGTCATAAATCACTCTTACTTGGATGATAGCCTCAAATTTTTAAGAAATAATTTTTGTAAAGATAGAGTAGAAGTCTAAAAGAGCCAACATGTAGACTGATATCATACTCAATTAAAGATAAGTGGCCATGGTTGAACCATTATTTAGTATCAATTATAATCAACCTCAAGGAAGAAGCTTTATGTAAGAACTGCTAGAAGATGAATTCTAGTTGGCTACAAGAAGCTAAACTAAGTAATAAAGTGGCATGGAAAAGTCAATACTCAAGATTTTTTTTTGGAAGGAATGTAAAAGTTGTCATTTACTTTTATTATAAGTTCTACAAAATCAAGGCATATGAACTCCAAGACAAAAAATTGAACCACAACACACCTTAAAGAGGCTATATATGAAGTACATGATGACTTAACCACAATCCTAAAACAAGTTTATTACAGTACAGCTTGTATGGCTTTCTAATATCTAGTTATTAAGAAGATTGTAGGCCAAAGGATGAAAATATGAATCAAGTAGATATTATGTGATGGCATGGTTAGTATATAATTTTTTCATACCGTTCAGGAACAAACAACTTCTTTGACTTTAATAGACTTACAAAACAACATTAGCCACCTAGTAATGGATTCTGTAGTACTTAATCCATTTACTCTATATTTTACTACAAATTATATGCTATCGACATGGTATCTTCAAAAAACAAAAAAACCATGTCCAATTTTAATTAGCACATCTAAATTAGATTTTTCACTAAAAGCCAAGAATTCTTATCTAAATCTCTCATTAAATATGAACTATATTAATTAGCAATTGCCTTGACAACTCAAAAGATCACTAGGATTGATGGAATTAGTATTGAATTTTACACAAATTATTGGTCTTTCTTAAGATAAAAATTTACCATAATCATTTAAGATTTGATGTTCCAAGGAACCTTCTCTAGAGGTATAAATTGAGGTTTTATTACTTTCTTATATAAAGAAGGTAAAAAGAAAGATCTAGGCAAGTGGTGGTCCATTATCTTGTTGACTATGTCCTATAAGGCATTAGCCAAAGCCTTATAATGTTAATTACAACTTCTAATACCAAATATAATAAGTATAGATGATATTGTATTTATGTAAGGGCTACATATTTAAGATAACATCATACTAATACATAAAACCATCAAATGGACATGTGAATCAGATCAGGACCTAATACTATTCAAGCTCAATTTTAAGAAGATATATGATGTGATATCATTATCCTTCGTATATTATATAATGGCAGCCTTTAAGATACCTAAGATATTTCTTGCAATAACTAGATTATCATTTAAGAATATAGAAGAATCAATAGGAATCAATAGAGGTATCTCAAATATATTTTTAATACAATGTGGAATATGACAAAGATGCTACATTGTATCATATCTTTTACTTTTTATTAGAGAGGTCTTAAATATTAATTCAAAGTTGGTCACTAAAGCAGGCCTAATAAACAACACATAACTTTCAAAAGCCATAGACAAACAATTGATTTTATAGTTTGGAGACAATGTCAAGTACATACATTAATAAAAACACATCAAATCTACCATCAAATCTATGCAATTTCAAATGGATTTGGCCTTGTATTTAGACTTTAAATGGATTGAAAAAAGTACATGATATATTAGGTCTCAAATAAGCAAGCTTTGCCTTAATTGAGCCATTAAGATTGCCTAGCTGAGATTGACTACCAACTATCTAAAGTACTTAGAATAGTATTTGGACTAAACTTCCACACTTTTGACATTGATGCATCTGTGCTTTCAAAAATACAAAAAAAAAAATGGAATTATTGCTTGGCAATGCATCTCTTATTAGCTAGTTGAGCAATGATTTTTAATGCAATTTTGCTCTCTACACTCTATCACTTCATTTGCACATGAAAAAAATCTACTTATATTATGCAATAGATTTGTATAATAGTAGGAGTTTCTTATGGTCAAGGTCAATGCTTTGATGTACAATTCACATACAATAAATAAATATGTAATCAAAGAAGAAAGTGGAGGGCCTTCAAATTATTGACTTTGAAGAAGGCCACCTTAAATTCATAGCTAAATGAATCCTTAAGGCAATGGTTTTAAGCAATATAAACCTATAAATCCTTCTTAGGTACTAGCTATTTAAAATGTAGCTTGTTGAACTAATCTATTAGTTAGCCAATATGCAATAGAACTTATTGTATAAATTTTATATAATGTATGGTTCTTAAATATAAAATTGTCTCATCTAAGCTTAGAAGAGACTAGTTAAGAAATTCAATAGGATCTAGCCTCCAGATATAGACAAGGTTCTTTCAACGAGCATATAGTAGTCAATGCACTTCTACTATATGAACTTTGAAATGGCCTTAAGAATGGCAGCCAAATTCATGTGTAATAGATTGAATCAAATAGCCGACTTGTAAGACAAAGCTACAAGAGCCTTCATGAGGTAGAAAGTGTTAATTATGTAGTTTGGATTAGGTCTTTGAGACCAAGATTAATTCTTCCAATTCCAAGTAGAATTTTCAATCAACTTGTTGGCAATGCTCACGTACTTACACTACAACACAATGTATTAAAAATTCATATAGATATTTAATAGTGACACCACAAAATATTATTTTTAGTATTTCAAATTTTCTTGCAATTCAATGTGCACCTAAGCCCACAATCAATCATTTGAGATCTATATGCAAACTATTCTAATTTTGTTGTAAGAGCTGAATCATCTCATCTATGTCTTAAGCCACATGCCGTCTTTAAAAATAAGAAATTAGTATTGAATTAAAAAAAGCAAGTAAAAATTATAACGATAGACAAAAGTTACTAGTTATTTATAGGAATCATTGCCAATTTATTCTTTGATTTAAGTAGATAGAAGTGAAGCAAGTTAGAGGACGTATACTTGTATAAAGCAAAGAAGAGCCAACCACTTTTCTTGTTCCATCTAATTTTTATATAAATAGTGCAACAAAAATAGCATGGTACCGCATTCTTAATTTAAGAGTCCAAATGATAAGAGCTATGCTACAAGAAACAATCACATAAAGAAACAGTTTTCTTATAGAGCCTATTCTATTATGTTATAACAATTTATTATTAGAAAATATAAGTGATTGCTAACATATTCATTTTATGTGCTTATTATGCTGTGGGTGCAAACAAGACTTAAATTTATAGATTTTTTGAATATACGTAAGCTCACTTAGCCTAATAATTTGCACTATTGGTATTACATCTCATTTGTGGCCTAGCTTCTGGCAATGGTCTATAGTACATGCTTACATGGCAACAATGCATGATGGACTCTAAGCTACTATATAAACTCAAATTAGAAACTACTTTATAGTTGTTTGCTAGAAGTTTAATAATTTGGATTTGTTGGGTTTCAAGAAATGCATGGATTTTCAATAACAAAAAATAGACTAGCAAAAAGATTAATACTATGGTTTGGAGCATGATTTTAGACCATGCTTGCATGAATTGGCTTTGCACCATTAAGTTGATCAAGTCATATCTTAACCTTATAATAAAAAAATTGGCCAAATTTGATCAAACTTGACTTTAATTTGAATTCCTCAAAACTTGTGTAGAGTTGAAGGTAACTTAGAAATTGGCTAGGCCTAAGGCCAAGTCTTTTTTTGTACTTTTACAAACTTAGAAAATATTACAAGTTTCTTTTTCTAAAGAACTTCTCTTCTCGATTTAATGTATATCTATTCTCCAACAGAATAAATGCCCATTTGGTTCAATAAATGAATAAATAACTAAATAAATAAAAAGTTCCTCTCAATAAGTAGTGGACGACTCAAAAAAACGTAAAAGTAAAGAAGGGAAAAAGACAAAAGAAGAAAAAAAAAAAAAAAAAAAAAAAAAAAATCAAAGGCAAAAGGTGGAGGGAGGCGATGGAGGTAGAGAGGATCCGGTTGCGGCATTCGGTTGAAGAGGGCTCACTCTCTCTCATCGCCGTGAGCGACGCTCACAATCCCTTCGTCGAAGGGGGTCGGGGAATTCGTCACATTTCCTATCTATCTATCGACACAGTGCCGCAAACCCACTTTAACGATAAAAAGCAGTAAGGACCAAGCTGCGGGAGCTTGTCACCAGCAGCCCTGCAATGGCTATTCAATTGCCTTGCAAGCTGGCCCTCTTTCAGCCCTTCACCTCTTTCTGCCACCAGGTTCTTCCGTGCCCTTCATCTCTCGTAATTCCCCTCTGTCTGCCCGGGCAGCATTGAATTGCAGCGTTTTGCATTGATCCGGATAGTGGGTCGGTTGTGAATTCTGGATTGGTAGAGCAAGGTGGCTGGGTTTCTCAGCTGACCGGTTGTTTTTGTTTTTTTGTTTGTTTTTGTTTGTTTTTTTGTTTTTCTTTTTCCGGGGTTTCTTTGGCAGGATGCGTTGAATGGGACGAAGCAGTGTGTGTCTTTTCCCTTGTGGGTGAGTTCTGGTGCCGTTGGACTCGCCTCAGCAGGTGAGATTGTGGAGCTCTCGAATTGAGTGTATTTTTGGTTCTGAAAGTGTTGGGGTGTTTGTTTGTTTGATTCTTTACTTTGGTTGGTTTTGTCACATTGTGTGTGCAGTCAGTAGGTGTCAATGCGATTGTCCTGAAGGTCGGACAATTGAGTGTGTGAAGAGAATGTGTGTATTTTAGCTGGAATTTCTGCCAGAGGTTTTGCGAATGCCATTCTCCTGAATCCCCTTGAGGAACATAGTTTACATTGTAATTGAATTGCTACCTTTGGCACGCAATCGAAGTCATTCCACGAGGTTGTTTTTGATTGAGGGGTAGTGTTGCAAAGTTGGCACCAGGTTCACCTTCTGAGCTTCAGCAGAGATAGTGGATGACGTCAGCAGATGCTTCCGAGATTTTGATGAGAATTTAGGCTGCAGATTTGGTGCTGTATTACATCGTGAGAAGTTTGCATCATTCTAGGTTTGCGTTTAAAAATTAGTGTATTAGGTTGTCACGAGTTGTTCCAAAGGTGAAGATTGATTACTTGACTCAACTACATTGGTAATAAATTCTGTTTGATATAATAAAATCCGAGCTCGTGGATGCGTTCTACCGGCTAATTGAATCTTTTCTACAAGGAGGGAAGGCATGCACATCTCACCAAAGTGAAATTGCTGTTCACAGGCTCCTCTAGATTTGTGAATTTGGGAACACGGCAAGCACGGCATACGTTGAAGGCTGCTGAAATCTTCACACCGCCACCCATTGACAACGATTTACATGTAAGCAACGTCTTCATTATTTTTTCTTCACGTCGCAAGTGTTTTTTTCCTTTTAAAGCAAAAGTCTTTTTGGTCTCAGAGATTTTGGTATCATGAGTTTGAATATCTGAAGGTGGTGGTTTGAATGCCTATTTACTATTATAGGATTCCGGCCTCCTGATGAAATTATATGATAGAGCAGGCTATCATAAGCGAAATGGGAGCTATCTTCTCTGAAGATGGAGTTGTGGAGACTTTTCAAAACGACAAGGATGCACTTGCAGCTGCTGAAAATGATGTTGCTGTAGAGACTCTGTTCGGAACCTTGATTTTTTCCTGTTTGAAGCAGATCTTACTCATTCATGGTTAATTTCGCAATGTGAAGTACACATTTGTGTCCAATATCTTTCAGGGACGTTGTTCTTAAAGTTTGAAAGTGCATGCAGTACCGGACAAGGAACTTTCCAGAATATATATTGCCTTAGAAATTGATCTTTGGAATTCTTTATTGTGGGGCAGGTTGTTGAGATGTCGCAAATTGGAAGAATACGGGGTATATTTTCGCACCTTTAGGATATCTCATTGTCGGAATTTTTAGATGACTGCTGATGTTCCTAGTATTTAGGAAATTTTATCACTTACTGCAACAGTAATCACAACAACCGCAAGGCGTGTTTGTGTACAGTCACTGGAGAAGACCGTATTCGTTTTCTTCATAACCAAACCACTGCCGACTTTCAAAAGTTAAAAGATGGTGAGGTGGGTGCCTCTCTTTTGTGCTCATTTGTTTCTTCATATTGCTGCAGTATCGTGTCCGTAATTGAATAATGGCTATAAGTACGTCATTTGACTCATGGCAATGGGAGGTATAGGGCTGTGATACAGTATTCGTTACATCTACAGGCAGGACAATCGATCTGGCCAAAGCGTGGGTTATGGTGTGTACTTCCATCTCTCCTCACTGTTGGGTACCAAATGGCCAATTTTTAGTTTCAGAGTCTTGTCATTCACAGTTTTTAATATAAGCGAAGGGCTGCAACTTACGAATTATGATGCCAGAGGTCACTTTTTTCTTCTTTTTCTTCTTTTTCTTCTTTTTTTTCTTTTTTTTTTCGTGAAATAATGTCTGCTTGGACTAATAGTGCTATAATATTGGACCAATAGCGTACGTTGAAGGATGAGTAATGAAGTTGATGGCATTTTTGAACTTTTTGGATTGCAGAAAAATTCTGTTATTCTGTTTGTTTCGCCAAGCCAACGCCAATCTCTCTGTGCCCTTCTCAACAAGTTAATTCACTTCACTTTTTTCTTTCTTGTTACGCCTTATGTTTGTGTGAAAGGGGAAAGCTGTTGTTTATGCTTTAAAGGTTCTTGGATGGTTCAGATGTTGGAGAATTTAATTTGAAAAGAATTACAATTGTAGGTACATATTTTTTGCTGACAAAGTGGAGGTGGAGGATATCACCGATAAAACTTATTATTTCACCTTAGTGGGTCCCAATTCCAGTAAGGTGTGCTTCAGATCCTTCAGTTTTGTCTATTAATGCTGCAAGTTGCCTATGAAGATATTTATACTTGTCAAAACCCACTTTGCCTATTTTGTGAAGGGCGGAATGACCTGTGACCTTTGATTAGGTTCTTGATACTTTGGGACTTGAAGCAATTAAAGACAAACCTTATGGTTCATTCATGCATTATGCGGTCAGTGACTTCAACCTGTATCCCGGTTATGTAACCTTATATCTTTTGTTGTGGTCAGTAACATCTAGATTGATTGGTTTCACTTCATCCTAGTTTTCGTGGAGCAGATTGCTTTGTTCTGGAGCATGCATCTTTTCGTGTCTTTATGGGCGGGGTCCCAGGGAATTTCGTGGATATTAAACATGAATTAAGTGTGCATTCATACTCGGCGGCATTCCGTCTCTGTTTCTAACAGTTATCTGTTTCAAACGTTTAAGTGTGAGACTCGTCTCATTTGGTAAATATTCAGTGGTCACAATTTCTGGGTTTCACATCGATTTGTTAAAATGTCAGATTGAAGGTACACCAGTGACAGTCGGAGTAGGTAGTGGACTTGCGAGCCCAGGCTATTCCTTTATGCTCTCCACCGACACAGCTGGTATTGTGTGGGAGGCGATACTGAACGCAGGAGCTGTACCCATGGGTGCAGCCGCTTGGGAGCAATTACGAGTTTGGCAAGGTGAATTTTATCCTGTAAATTTACAATTTCTTTGTCACCATGGTTACCTGTAAGCCACTACAAGGAGTAAGATCTAATTGCACCTCAGGGCTCTAATTCTGAACTCCGTGGACCAATATGTACAACTCAAAAGGACAGGTGCATATTGTTGAAATGAAAACGACATGGCCATGTTGCGCATTGGAATTGTTCCACTTGATAGTTAGGTATCTCATTTTTTGTCCTATGCTTCAACATTTTCTTTCCATTTGAGAAACTTAAAAGACAGAACTTACTAGTGTGGAATGAGTGCAGAATTTGATAGCATCGTCATTATGCAGGACGGCCTGCACCGGGGAGAGAACTCACTTCGGAGTACAATGCACTTGAGGCAGGACTATGGCATACCATTTCTATGACAAAAGGTTAATGCCAATTTTAAAAGACTCCTTTTGTCCGTCACAGGTCATTCGTGGAACATCACTAGATTAAATCTACTAATCCACTCCAAGTTAGCAGTCCTATCTGTGAGCTGGATACCTACAGCCACTGCTATATTTTCAGATGTCCACGCGGTATATTTTAGTGCAAACATGGTAAATTCTCTTTTGTACAACGTCCTTTACGAGGTCGGAGTTTATTATAACGTGAACATTGTGTTGTCTCTTTCCCAAGCTCTTGGATTGTGTGGCTTTTGCCATTAGTTTCTACATTTTGTACTCTAGGCTGTCAGTCTGTCAGGATCTGGACATTGTACGCATGGCCTTGTTAGTATGTGTTTCATCATCCTGTGAATAGAATTTCCCAACCGTTATGTTGTATTTTCTCACTTCATGAGAACCTAAATCAGTATCGTATTTTTGCAGGCTGTTACATAGGACAAGAGACTATAGCACGGCTTATAACCTACGATGGTGTCAAGCAGCAATTGTATACAGTTCACATGAACGGATATGCTGAACCAGAGACAGAGATTACTTGCAACGAAGCCAGGGTAAGATTGTCAACAGAAGTGCAGGTTCTTTTCTATTCGATTCTGAAAATATAAAGCCCACTGTAGAGACCGATCATTGATTCGTGGACACGTAAGGTTGTTTATGCTGAATTTTAATTTCAAGTCAATTTGATGGCCATTGATAGGTGGGAAAGCTGACCAGCTGTGTGGAGGCAAAAGAAGGAAGCGAGCATAGTCATGTGGGGCTAGCATATATTCGCAGAAAATCAGGTGGAGAGAACCTGGTTGTAGATATAGGAGGTGTATCAGGGAGAGTAGTAGAAGCAAGCTTTGTCAAATATGCTCTTCCGCCGCAGTGACAGTATGCACCCTTGAAAGCGCTTACTATCCTTGGCGGTTAAAACTTTGCTGGCTGTGTTGCTTGGTCTTTGCTGAAGGTCAGTGTGCATGAAAGTCTAGCAATGATCTTCTACTTTGTAATTTTTGCTGTTATTCCTCAGTTGAAACCCTATCGTGACTGTTTTTTTTCTAACTGAAAATGGAGTTTTCTCAATACAGTCCTAGAAGGTTTATTAATTATATTTTTAACGATATTTAAAATTTTAAAATTTTAACATTTATCTTCAATACCAATTCTTCTTGAGAATCTTATTATGAAGAATTTACTACAAAGAATATAACACGCGAATATCTTGTTTACTACTGAAAAGTAAATTCTTTTAGAGACTGCCATTCTTGTAGAATTAATGATTGATTTATTTAAAAATTCTATTTAGTTTTGCAAACCTCCAAGCAAATGTGCATGTTAGAAGTCACTTTTGCCAACAACATATCTCAAGGTTTTTAATTTAGAGGTGACTAATTTAGTATTATGACCACTTTAAATAATATCTCATTGATCATATGTTTCAAAAGAAATCAAGTCTAGTGTGAGTTAAAGTTTATTAAATTTTTATTATCATAGAGATGATGTTGATTATTATTATTATTATATGGGAAATTTCAAATGCCACTACAATTTTTGCTATTGCTACCACATACTACTTTTGTTCAATATTTTTCAAATCAATCATTTATTTATTTATTTTGTCCAATATTTTTTAAACCATTTGTTTTAACCTAAATCTAGAACAGAGCTTCAACTTTTGATCTAAACCCATTCATTTGAACTCAATATAAAGGCTTACAACACTCAATAACAGTGTATTATTTTAAACACTTGTAATTTCTAACGTGTTTTCAATTTTACTTGATTCAATCACGTATCTGTGTACATTTGTTTTGATTATATCAGCTATTTTTAGTAGAATCTATATCAGTAATGAAACACATCAGCTAACTCCCTGATAGGTACAATCTTTCCAATAAGTTCGAGCCTTAGCCATAATAACGATAAACCTTAAATAAGCTTTGTAAAATTCAGAAGCCACTCATCAAAATGCATTTAATTTGTAACATTTTTTAAACAGCTAAAAAAATTAAGTTGTTGCAATGTGATGTGAAATACCCCAAAACTCTCTTGTTTTCTACATACACAACCAACCTGTGTGTTCCCAACTAAATAAAGAATATAATTTATTTCATAAAAAAACAGTTTTTATTAATGGGTGTTTGATATATAGAACGAACAGTATCATTGCCGTCAGTAATCTATACAACGGAAATAAGCTCTATCAAAGCATTGCATTCTTATTCGTAAACAAAATAATGCAATTGTGGTAGAAAGTGAACAACAAAATTGCCAAACATCATGTACTAAACTGTTTATTAGCGTTCGTAATACTACAATTCATGAAGTGATCTTCTCGAACTCAGAATCATATACTTTATGCATTGTGAGGGACAGACCTCACCGCAAAATAAGAATTCACAAAACCCTGAATACCAACAACCATTTCCAAGCAGAACCGTAATAAACAATGCGCACTACCCACTTGCACTACAAATACCAATAACATATCACCTCACGATTTCCAAATCAACACACAATCCAACACAAGAGCACAGAACCATCCTAATAAAAACCCAAAGTCAAATCCTGATTAGAAAGTAGCCACCACTCTAAAGACCACAAATGCTGGAAAACAACAACCTTAAGATCACCATCAAATCAGGCAACACGGTGATGAAAACATCCGAGCGAACAAAAAACACACTCAGTGAACGTTGAAAAAAAATTGAAACACTATTTTCAAACTACCAAAATACGAATACGTATTTACGGTGTCCCAATCGAAACTTACGTATCTCTTCACCAGGATCAACTATAGAATAAACGAAAACTGAATATACGAGGTAAAAGCTAAAAAATTTAGGAATGGGGAGATAGGAAGCTAGGAAATGAGGGGACTAGGGCAGAAAAAAGCATGAATGGAGCACAAGTGCGACGCTGCTGATTCGGATGGCAGCAAAAGCGAAGCAGAGCATATAGCTTTCAATATTCCCAGTGGTGCGTTGATACGGCAGCGCCTCGATCGGGCGGACGTCGACAGAATGCTGGAGCTCCGGGATGGTGTTGCGACGAGGCATTTGGTGCGGGATACGGTTGTGTTGGGGTGAAGAAGGAGAAGAAGAAGCTGCTGCTGCTGCTGCGAGGGGCTTTGCGGGAGAGCTTGGTGCGTGTGCGCGCGCATTCGTGCTGGACTGACGCAGTGTTTGTGGCGCTTCGCGTGAAGGTATCACGGTGACGACGCTGTAGCTTGGCGCCTGCGGAGTGCGGGTGCTGTGGTCCGAGGTCCAATGCGGAGCGTTGGTAGCTGAAGCTGGCTGGAGATTGCGTGGTTGGGTGCGCCGGAAGTGGTTTCGTCTTTGTTAGGTGTCGCCGAGATGGTGTAAGAGTGTGTTCTACTTCACGGCGGGGCGTTAATCGGTGCCGGAGCGTTGAGGCGGTTTCCCGGTTTGGGAAGTTGGTTGGAGTTGTTGTTGAGCGTGGTGGCGTCTGAGCTACGCCGGTTTTGGCCATTTCGAGTCGGCGAGAATGTGGGCGCTGTAGTGTTTTCCTGGACGGCTCTGTCGTGGTGGTGTGGAGGGCGTGCGTAGGCGTGGGCATGTGAGGAGGAGTGGGAGACGGAGCGCCTTGGGAGGTTCCTTATGCAAACCCGGATCCGTGGACGTGATTGTGGAAGAGGTGCAGGGGAAGGCAGTGGAAGTGGAGAAAGAAGACATTTGGAGGGGTTGGGCGGGGATTTTTCCCGCTGCCAGGGTAGGGAAATGGCCCTGCGATGAGATTTGGAGTGCGCAGGAAGCATTCTTGGGTGACGGCGGGAGGATAGTAGTGGAGGATGGTGGCTGGAGCAGACCATGAAGAGGGGAAGATGATCTCAGAGAAAGGAGGGGGCCACGAGAAGTGCTCGCTAGAGAAGTCGAAGAAGAAGAAGCAGGATAGTCGTGCAGCTGCTCCGAGCGGCGAGAGGACGTCGGGGAGGGGTGAGGATTTGACGTCCCCTGAGACGAACAAGAGCTCGTATGTGACATGTTCATCATCGATGCCCTCATCTCCCCTGAATTGTTCAGCACTGTCTAGCATTGCAGGCGGGAGTGGCGTGGGAAGAGAGGTGCTGGGGAAAGGCAGCGGGGCAGACAGTGGGAGTCCGTTTACTCGGAGTCCAGGGTCGTCGATTGATCTGTCTTCGTCGTCGTTCAAGTCGAGCGTGAGCGGCAGCACGTACGGGAGCTCGCAGGACCGAGAGAGCGTGGGGGACCGAGAGAAGGGAGGTGCAGAAACAGAAGCAAGCGGTGATCGGGAGTCGGAGTCGAGAATTGGAGCACGTGCGAAGCAGGCAGGGGTGGTAGAAGAGGGCAAGGGCTCCAAGCTCCCCGCAAGGAGCCACAGTGGAAGTATGACCGGGGATTCCTCTGGTGCCCCGAAATTGAGCAATGGTTTGGATGCACAGCGGGGAGGAAATGATGCAGGGGACGAGCATGCGTCCGAAAAGGCCACGAGAGCTCAGTCTTGTAAAGAGAGCGAAAGGGGCACAGGGAAGCAGACGAACAACGAAGTCGCCGAAAGCGGCAAACGGAACAGCAGGGTGGACTCGGCGAGGGAGACGGAGTCTGCGCGGAACAGCGGGAAGTTGAGCATGAGTCGGGCAAGTGCTGGGAGCGATTCGAACGAGAGCTCTTGCAGCAGCATTGGTTACGGTGCCAGCAAGCCTCACAAAGCAAACGACAAGAGGTGATTGTTGTTGGTGGCACTGTGTGCGTGTGTGCGAATTGCGCAAGAGCGGAGTCGGGGTTACGTTGTGAGGTGGTGTTGTTGGGCTAGCGCCCATTTTGAATGGTCGGATCAGCGGGTGAAGAGTGGGAATGTCCATGAGATTTCGTCGCAAGGTAGCGGTCAGCAGTGGATGGTAACGGTTGTGGACGTTTGCAGGTGGGAAGGGATTCAGGCAATTCGAGTGAGAGACGGGGCCCTGGGATTGTCACATTTCAAGCTGTTGAAGAGGTTGGGGTGCGGCGATATCGGGAGCGTGTACCTCGCTGAGCTTCGTGGCAGCCACAGTCACTTTGCAATGAAGGTAATGGTTCGGTTTGCAAGTTACGGTTGTGGAAGATACGGAGTCGTGACATTCGCGACGTCGGTGCTTGGCATCCGAGATGGTGTGCATTGTGCCGGTGTTGTGGGGGTCGAGCAGAGCGTGGTACAGTAGTCATATTTAGAGAGGGCTACTTGGCGCTGCCCGGTGTGTATGAACGGACATGCAGGAACCGAGAGCGGTGGGTAGTGAAGTGGAAGTGGCAGTCAGGCTAGGGTTGTGGTAAACGGTTTTGGTGAGTGGAAATGGTGGTGGAGCACGAAGATGGTTAGTTGTGGCATGAGAAGTGGGCGACAGGAATTATGACAGTCGTAATCGGTGTCACTGGGTTGGACTGGGTGGATTGGTGTTCAACCCAGCAGACTTTTGGTGAATGGTTGTTGCGTTGGCAACCTCGTGAACGGCGTGTTTCGTGAAGCTCAAAGTTGGTGTTTGCGTGTTGCCACGAGTGAGCCGTTTCTTGTGACGGATGGATCGATTAGATTGTACTCGCACTGATCAGATTGTAGGGGAGGGAGGAGCAGGGACAGAGTGTGGGATGTGGTTGGACACCTGGGAGAGGGCTTGGTACGTGCACGAAGTGTTTTGTGTATTCCCGGGGTATGATGCAATCTGAGTGCAGTAGTTTCGTTTGAATGTAGGTGATGGACAAAGGATCGCTTGCGAGCCGCAAAAAGCTTTTGCGAGCTCAGACGGAGAGGGAGATTCTGCAGTCTTTGGACCATCCGTTCTTGCCTACACTGTACACGCACTTCGAGAGCGAGAAGTTTCTGTGTCTGGTGATGGAGTTCTGCTCCGGTGGAGACCTGCATACTTTACGGCAGCGGCAACCAGGGAAGCACTTCACGGAGCAGGCAGCAAGGTAGGTAGCGTTTTTGTTGGGGCAGTGGGGGCATTTGGAGGTGGCATTAGGCGGGGACGCAGCGTTGAGATTGATGGTGCAAGAAGTGTGGCAGGTTGTGGTTGACAGCGGTATGAGTGGCAGGGTTGTGGGTGAGGTGTGGTTGATTTTGGAGCAGGGGTGGGTGGCGGTGTAAGCTGAATGTGGTGTGGGTGGTGCAGATTCTATGCCGCGGAGGTGCTTCTGGCGCTGGAATACCTGCACATGATGGGAGTGGTGTATCGAGATTTGAAACCTGAGAATGTGTTGGTGCGGGAGGACGGGCACATCATGCTTTCGGATTTCGATCTTTCTCTGAAGTGTGCGGTGAGCCCTACTCTGGTGAAATCGATTGGGCACGATTCACGGGATGGGAAGAGCTCTGGATCATACTGCATGCAGCCGACGGCGTGTGCCGAGCCATCATGCACGGGTGGCTTCGAGGTAGGGCAGGGCGCGGGTTTTGTGGGAAGGGGAGGGTGGGTTTGAGGAGTTTGTGGGAGCTGAGACGCCGGTGATTGTGTATTTTATTTATTTATTTATTTATTTTTGTGGCTGTATGAGAATGGAGTTGGACGATGAAATACCCCAGTTCGTATGGGATGCGGAGTGGTGCGGTTGAGCGGAAGGGTATTTCATGTAGGGATGGGTGGAGGTTTTGGTTGGGAGTAGGGGGAGCGGTGAGGCTCGGACAGGCTCGAAGGGTGGTGTGGTTGCGGAGAGACTGACGTGGAAGACGGTTGTGAGTGCAGGCTTGCGCCCACCCTGGAGGAATGTCGTGCGTGACCCCGTCGTGTTTTGTGGTGAAATCGTCGCTGCCGAGTTTGTTTCCCAGATTTTCGAGGAAGAAAAAGGAGGGGAAGAGTGCGAAGCCAAGCCCGGGAAAGCCGAAAACGAAGTCGAAAGCGGAGGGTGGACAGTCGGTGAGTGTTGGAGGTTGCTGGTGTGTTAGTGGTGTGTTGCACGTGCGTGGGAGGAGTTGGTGGATGCGTGAGTAGCGTGCGTAGAGATGTGGCGGAAGTTGGCGGTGGGTTGTTGGTCGTTTTTTGCAATAGTATTCCGGATGGGTTGGGCATGGGTAATGGGTGTGTGCTGAGTTGGGGGTGATGAATGGCGCAGGTGTCGCCTTTGCCAGAGCTGATTGCAGAGCCGACGAGTGCACGGTCGATGTCTTTCGTGGGGACTCACGAGTACCTTGCACCCGAGATCATCAAAGGTGGGATATCATGTGGGATGGTGCCTGCGGGATAGAAGGGAGGTAGTCGTGGTTCGTGAGTTGGAAACGCGTTGCAGGTGGTTGGCGTGGTATGGGAAGTGGTTGGGGTGGTCTGACGATGTGGAGATTGGTGGTTTTGAGCAGGCGATGGTCACGGGAGTGCGGTGGACTGGTGGACGTTTGGAATCTTTCTGTACGAGTTATTGTTTGGGAAGACTCCGTTCAAGGGGTCTGGCAACCGAGCAACTCTGTTCAACGTAGTGGGACAGCCTCTGAAGTTCCCGGAGTCGGCGACAGGGCAGGTGAGCTTTGCGGCTCGAGATCTGATCCGTGGGCTCCTGGTGAAGGAACCCGTGCACCGGCTGGCGTCGAAGAGAGGAGCTGGCGAGATCAAGGCGCATCCATTCTTTGAAGGTAGTGCGGAAGGGGGTTGTGTGGTGGAGTGAGTGGGAGAGGTAGGTTGTTGTGGTGTTAGCGTGCGCAACGGGGTGTGGTGTTTGAGGGGCAGTGGTGGTCTGAGTCGATTGTTGTGGTGCGCGCAGGCGTGAACTGGGCGCTGATACGGTGTACAAGCCCTCCAGAGGTGCCCCGACCTTTCGAACCTGGTCCGTCGCTGAGCAGTTCAACGGTGTCAGACGACACGTCCGCGAGCAAAGGGGCAAAAGCTGTTGGCGGTGCAGATACCCCGGGCACAGCAGGCAATGCAGTAGCGGGGAACAGTGAGAGTAATGACAAGGCGTGCGAGAAGAAGAATAGCAAGGGATCAGGGACTGCTGGCGTGTCGACTCAATCGTCGGGAGGATCATACTTGGACTTGGACTTCTTTTAGCATGTGACGGAGGGATCGATGTGAGAGGAGCATTTTTCAATCCATGTGGATGCGGGCCGTGCATTTTGGTTCGCAATATGTATAATTTGAATGATCCTACTTCCACTTGACGGTGTTGTGGGGTTTTTGGCTACTGTTGGGGTTTGGTCAGTGCAGCTGGGGAGCTTCAGCTTTTTTATATATTAAATTTTGATCATTTGAAGGGAAAATTTTATACGTACCCTCAAAATATGTTGAATTATCAAGGATACCCCTGTATTCTTGATAACAGGAAATTTACCCTTGACTTATGTCAGAATATCAAATCCATCCCTCGACGTGATAAGCAATTGTTCTTGACATGTGCAATGGTTAAACCTGCAATGGGGCCAACATGCCTGCCCCGCAAGAATCTGCTAACCTTCTTCCGCACTTCACTGGGATGTTTTTCTGGGCACACACACCGCTTCTGCATTTTTATCATCTCCCTTCTCTTTGTCCTGCTCCTGCTCTCTTTTTCAATTTCCTTCCTTTTTTGGGTTCCGAGGCTACCGTTCCACTGCGTTTTGCAGCTGATCTCCTTTGTCTTCTGGAGGACGTGATCATTAGTAGCGGTGTTGCGACGGGAAAGGACGAGTCCTGAGTCTGATAAAGGAGTCTAACTTTTGAAACTATATCAAATCGTTAGTCTCTCCAGTGGTCGGTACCTTGATCCTGACCATGTGGGGACTTGGGTTGGCTGCCGTGACGGTTGACGACGTAGTTCCTTGACGTTCTGCAGCAGAGTGGATTGTTCCACAATTTACTTGCTCGCCCGGCATGAGCTGACATAATATCAGACCGAGTGGAGATTTTTCTGTGGTCCCTAAGTGGTGGCATTCGAGGGAAGCCGTGGCAATACGATACTGTGACCACGGTAAATCAATTGAACTAAGAAGGGGTGAAAATTAAAAAGTCGCAGTGAAAGTCTCTCGATTAAAAATAAGTAGATGAAAGAAACAAAAACGAATAGATGATCAACACTCCATGGCAGCCAGCGATTGTGGAGGATTGTCAACAATTGAGCTTTTCCTCTTGCTGGGTTTGTGCCTGCTTCCCTTTGTTTCTACCATCTATTCCTAAATTCAGAGTGGTGCTTGCAAAATTTCGAGCGATGCCTGCCAGCGATGCTGCTGATTCATACACAGGCCGCGACCTCTGTGGACTGGGCAATCCCCTGAATGGTGATGTGCCTTTTGAATGCAAAGGTGACGATGGTGGATGTGGTGTTGACGGGCCAGATTTGCCCAATACTCGACCAGGGGAAAGAGCCCAGGAAGTTGTGCTCCCATTCATGCTTGCAACGGATTGGTAGGGCAACACGTTGGTGCGTCTTATTGTCTTAACAGGAACAATAGCGACTGCAGGAAGATCAACGTCTGATCGATTTCGACCCGTTCAGAGAAGCGTCGGAGTCTATTACTCATGTCCTGCAACACACGGGCAGGAATGGTTGTTCTCCTTCCAACTCGGATCCTGGGTGCAGAGCTCTTGGAGGCCACAGTATCAGACATGTCCTCAAGAGGTGTAGAAAGAGAATCCACAGTTGCAACTGATTCTTGTGAAGGTTGTTGGACATGAGTTGCATGATTGATTTGAAATGTAGTACTACTGCAAGGATGGTCATTATCATAGTCATTGCTAGCTACATTCACCTATATTACACTTTTTATAGCCCCTGTTCTACTTCTACTGGGATTGCTTTGTATTGCTACTTGACCAGGTGTTGCAATGGGACCATCAATTGAAACTACAAGTTGAATCATACCAAAACCTTAATGCCAAATCATACCAAAAAGTGCAGGCAAGGGTCCCCCCAATTTTTGCATGGGAAGTAGGTTGGGCTCCAATTGCATTTAAAAAAGAACAATTGTGATAGCTTATCAAGTTGAGAGGTAGATTTGATATTATGACAAAAGTGAGGGGTGGATTTCCTATTATATAGAATAGAAGGGTACTCTTAATATTTCAACATATTTTAGGGGTATGTATGATATTTTTTCTTAAAATAATAATATGTTGTGTAAAAATATTCCTATATATATATATATATATATATCTATTAGAAGTAAGAATGAAATTTTATTTAGTATTTTTTTATATACATGATTTTTTTTATTAATACTAATGAATTTAAGAAAAAATACAATATTTATTGGAAGTTAATATTTGCACCCTAAGTTTCATTTTTTTCACCCAACATTGTATTGCATCCACCATACTATTGTAGTTGTTGTTGTTGTGATTATATAAGATGTTGTATTTCAACAATAGCTTTATTTGGGCATTTTGAAAGAAATTTTTGAGCTTTCTCAAGACCTTTGCTTAGTGAGTTGTGAAGGCATATATGTTAGATCTTGCTACCAAAAATATCTCTACTTTGTAAGATCCCATTGCCAACAAAGGTAAAGGATCCCTCCATTGAAGCACTAATTAAAGAAAAATTATTTTTAAATATGTCACAAAACCATAACAATAGCAACAACAATGTAGTAGACATAAAATGATATTGAATAGGAATAGTAAAACCTTGGGTGAAGATATCATGTCATCAACAATCTTTGAAAACCACAAGTAAATGTATAAATGGTATAAAATTAAGATTTACTAACACCAAAAGGTATAAGTGTTTTTAACAAGTTTCAAGGATTATACCTTTTAATCTTAAGCTTTTTGACTTTGTGTCACAATGATGTTAAAGACTTTATTATTTGCTCATAAATTTTTCAGAACAAATATTTTATTCTTAGTTTTATTTTGGATATATTTTTAAAATTTGGAATTCAATATATATATATATATATATATATATATATACACTTAAAAGCTGGAGTTTTTTTTAATCTTGTATGACATAATATTTTACTACTTCATATGGTAAATAAAATCTTAAGTTCATTTATAAGCTCATTTCTTCTATACCCCTTTTATTTTAAAGAATTCAAAGAATGATTCTCTATACTTGTGATTTTAATGCATTAAAATAACTTTAAACTTGCCATGGTAATGCATGTAAATGTAAATCATATATTTCTCAAGATTTTTATGTACATACAGAAACCAAGACCAATAGAATCTGACATCTCAAACAAGTAATTTTTGAGTCTTTTAAATTTAATTACTGTTCTGAATAAACTATAGTTTTTTTTCCATGTTTCTACTAATGATAGGCATTTGCCTCAATAAATAAAAATCCAATTCAAGCTTAAGCAAATTGAATTCTATTTAATCTTTGTTTACATAATATTTATTACTTTATTTATATATTCAGTTACACACACATGCTTGCTCACATCAAAATAAACAATACTTCTAACCAGACAACATCAACATTAGGATACAAAAGTTTGACAATGCATCACTAATTAAAAACTCAAAATGATAAATTAAAACTTACCAAGTAATTGCTTTTCCCAAATAAATCATTACGGTAAATACAAATAAATGCAATAAATGTATCACAGGACAATGAGTAGCTATAATTTCTAGTGGTAGGCGCTAAAGCATACTTTAAAGTACAAAGTAGACATCACACTGAACATTGATACATCTATGCTCAATTTTGAAAAGATTTTCAACAGTCCTGCAAAGACACAAGAAAAGGTCAAACAAACAACACTAATCTTTTACATAATCCTGAAAAAAACAATGGTCAATTACTACAGTTTTGAGTACAGTATAAATTAAATAAATTCATTCAACGAACTGAAACCTCGCTACCCTCTTGCACCTAAATAAACAATGAGATAAAAAGAAAATAGTTATAGCCAGATCCCATTTAAGGATGAAACACCAGTATAAATTAGGCAACTAGGACCAGGTGCGGATATGCATTGGACCAAAACAACGCACAACGGCACCGATCCGAAAAATTCTTAAAAGCAGCACAGCATTGCCGTGTGAATGGAAAGTAGCTACAAAGATGACGAGCCTCAAAAATGAAAGAACATCGATAAAGAAAACTCCGACAACAACTGATTTATCTCCACATGAGTAGTTCCGAGTTACACTGATTTGAAGATAATTACCCAAAAGCGTAAAGCATAAAGTTGGGCGCTGTCAGTGTCAGAGGCAAGGCACAAGCATTTGGAATGACTGAAAAGCGGAACGAGAGAGAGGGACCAGCGAGTACATCCACTGCCGTCTGGGTCCCATGCGAAACCAAAGCATGGAAACTAACAGCAATTGACACACCCCCCGAGATACGAGCACATTAGACCTGACACCTCTGCAGGGCGAGCAAGTAAATTGTGGAACGATCCACTCTGCGGCAGAACGTCAAGGAACCACGTCGTCAACCGTCACGGCAGCCAACCCAAGTCCCCATATGGTCAGGATCAAGGCTCCGCCCACTAGAGAGACTAACGACCTGCTATAATTCAAAAAGTTACTCCTTTATCCCATTCAGTGCTCGTCCTTTTGCATCACAACAACGCTATTGTTGATGACATTCTCCAGCAGACGAAGAAGATGAAGTGCAAAAAGCATTGAAACAGTGGCCTCGGAAGCCAGAGGAGGGAGGGAATTGGAAGAGAGCTGGAGCAGGACAGAGAGAAGGGAGAGATGATGATGATGCAGCAGCAGCAGTGTGTGCCCAGCAACAGTTCCCTGTACCGAAAAGTGCGGAAGAGGGTTCGCAAACTTTGGCTGGGCAGGCAGGTTGTCCACAATTGCATTTGAAAACGAACAATTGCTTCTCAGGTTGAGGGGTGGATTTGACAACATGACAATAGTAAGGGGTAAATTTGCTATTATGAAGAATACAGGGATATCCTTGATATTTCAACCTCTGCTTCACTCGCCAACAATTCCGCATCACTGCCACAAGGTGCATGTGGCTACGAGCACTCCACTTCCCCGACGCCAAATTACCCAAGCGACAAAAACGTACACGGCCAAAAGTGTTGATTACGACCAGCCCACTACAAAGAACTCACGACCGTGATGCACACACCCACGACATTCGACATATCAAAGGAGGCAGAAACTACATGAAAGCCTAACTGGGAGATTCAAAAGCAAAAAATTAGGTGTTCACACGCCAAACAATGCATTGGAAAAATATGATACACGATGCTTCCGAGCATATCCTACAAAAAACCATCAAACACTGAAGAAAACACCGCAGCAGTACACACAGAACGCCATAAACTCCGCAAAATTTGTAAAAAAACCAAGCGATGAGACAATAGACCCAAACTCGACTCCTACCAATAATCTCCAAACAAGATCGAACCATAATTACAACAACACCAAAAATACCCACAAAAACCCCAACAG